AAAAACTAAAATAAATTCCTTTTCATTATTTTTATAATTGTATAGTGGTATGGTGTTCAATGCTCCAGAGGTGATGCCGACCATCCAACAAGTGGAACATACATTTGGTGCTACTCATCCTGGTGTTTTTGATGCTGAAAAACAAACATTTACATTAAACTTTCGAGGAATTTCATTTTGTTTTAATGTGGATTCTAAATTTCAGGTTTAATTTATATTTTTATTATAAACACTAATATTATAATTAACATTTTTATTTTATATTTAAGGCTGGTAGTGCTCAGTGTGGTCTTGGATCTTTGCAATTTGCTAGTGGAACATCCCCGAATGTCAGTCGTGTTATTATATACTCTGGGAATCCACTTCCTGGACAAGATATTTTAAATATTCCATCACATCCATTATCTTGCTACAAAGGGTTAACTTATTTAGAACGATTAGAAGTTCAAAGAGATCTTAAAAATACAAAAGGATTTATGATACAATTATACTTGGAAGGCTCTGGTAATGCTAAATACAGTTATTGATTTAAATAGTCATTAATTCAAAATTAACTACAAATCATATAGGTTCAAACCGTGGACGTAAAGTCACTTATAATCGTGAAATTAATTTTGGAATGTCATGTCAAGATGTTACATCTATGTTAGGCACCCCTTCACAGGTTTTTTATAAATCTGAAGATAAAATGAAAATACATTCACCAAATGTTCATAGACACATATCTGTTCCCAGAAGATCGGATTATTTTTTCAATTATTTCACCCTGGGTTTTGTTAGTATCTTTTTAGTATATTTTTAATAAAGAGATTAGTTTAATATTTATTAATATAATTTATAGGATATTCTTTTTGATGCCAAAACACACAAGATTAAAAAATTTATAGTGCATACTAATTTTCCTGGCCATTATAATTTCAATATGTAAGTATTTAAAGTTAGAAATATTTTAGGAATAATTTTTTTATCATTGTTTTTTTATTTATTTTTAGTTATCATAGATGTGAATTCTACATTGTTTTAACTTCAGAAAAATCAAAATATAATCTGATCAATGATTGTAAAAAATATGATAAAAAACCAAAGCCAATTACTGTGAATACATTTACCAAATGGGACGAGATATCTGAAAGACTAAAACATAGTGAAAGACCTGTTGTGTTAAATCGTGGTTCATCTGAAAACTCTACCAATCCATTTGGATCAACATTTTGCTACGGTTATCAGGAYATGGTATTTGAAGTTATGCAAAATCAGCATATTGCTTCTATAACATTTTATAAGAATGACATTGAAGATGATGTATGACGAAAATTAGTTGCCACGTCCTACCCAGTGGCTTTAATGTGTTTTTATAACCAATCAGTCTTTTACCATGATTAACAGTATTTAAA